ACACCTGGGGTGGGATTCAACCGGTGTTACTACCGGTTCAATGACTATGTTTTGCCCGCGCATCTAAAAAACCTTAAGCTGTGCCACTTGGACAGCTGAAAAGCACTGTGCGCGGGTGCGCAACATTTGAAAAGCCACTTTTTTCCTGCTTTTTCAACCTCAGCTGTGCCACGCAAAGAAGGAAATAAAGGATAGGTAAGAGCCCAGGCGGGCAGGAGGCAGGTGGGCCAAAGAGCAGCAGACACAGAACCAGTTTGGTGTCTGCTGCTCTTCAGAGCTACTGGTTCTATAGAGCTGGGCAGAACCAGTAGCATCCCACCCCTGTGTGACACAGTGTTTTTACCTTTGAATCTGAAGTATTACATACCCTCAGTGATTAGGTCAAGTGAGAATGATTGGTTAGTTTGAATTTCCTTCCTTAGGGTTGATTATGTACCATCAATCAGTATCAATTCTTAGTGACCATATAGATCAATTTTTCTCCATGAAAGTGTCCCTAATCTGCCTTTAACAGGTAGAATTGAAGCTATGTTATTTTGGTTAGTTAGCAAAAGATATCAAATGCCAGACATCTGGGTTACACATTAATCTGAGGTTTAAAAAAATGAAAAGAAAATTATGACTACTCATGGATAATGGTGCCTTTACCTCTGAAATATACAACAAGCAGTGCTTGGCAGACTGTCTTATTTTTCAGAGTTAGAGATTTTGACATCTATTTGCCACAAGGATCAAAGCAAGATTAACTCCTCGTTTTACTTTGGAGAAACCTTCTCAGCATTTTCTACCTTTCTTCCTTTTTAGAGCTAGTAATACTACCTGTGAAACAACATTTCAAATTTGCTTTTCAAATTTGCATATAACAAAAAGAGGCTGGAAAAAAAGTTTCATTTATTTTTCAGACAAATAAGAAAAAAATTGCAACAAAAAACATAAGTCATCCACTTACAGCTGAAATTGCATTTAATTATTTCAAGGAGACACTCTCAAGTGACTTGCATTACTGTATACACCAGATTGCTATGGGAAGATTTTTAAGCATTAGCCAATTTCTTTCTTTACTAGTTATTTCCATAGTAGTTCTTAGCATCCTGTCTTGGTAGTAGTATGGTGTACCATTTGGGTTTAAGACATTTTGGCATATTTCATGTTGAATCAGCCTTCCCCAATCTGCTATTCTTCAGGTATGTTGGATAAGAAGTCTAAATATTTCCAGCCAATATTAGTCCCCACACTTGGTAAGGATCAGACTTAACAAAGGAATCCATGGAAGAGGCCAGATAAATAAGATGGTAGCTTCTAATCTGTCATCAATTCTTTGTCCTGTTTTTATATGTGCCACACACATGACACATGTAAGAAAAAAGAGTGGGGTTTCTGCCATGCAGTCATAGATATCTTCTTTTTTATTCAGCACACACTCATAAACACCCCTGAGACTAAGGAAAGCCATGTCCCAATTTCTAGAGGTAATCATATGAATTTGTTGCAGAAGAAGTGTAAATACATTGTGTTTTTTTAAACCAACATTGTTATCAGAGCATAAACCTTTGTAGATTATATGTACAGAGCAAAATGAATCATAGGAAAGAAGAGGAAAAGGAGAATCTAGAGGAAAACAAAATGTTGCTAAGTGACAGAAGACTCTTCATTAAATTGCTATACTTTCTAGTTGAATGATTTTCTTGTGAATCTACATGGCTCAGACCGGTTGTTTGTATACCGTACTATTTCAGGTTGCTCCTAACAGAATTTTATGTACAAGCCAGGCTGTGTTTTGTTAGATAGGCTGCTATACAAATGTGACTAATAAATAAATCCATTTAATAAATACACAGGAATCTCTCAAAGACTGGCCTCATCCTATAATAAACAGATATTGCATGGTTTCTTTCACTCAAAAGATAGGGAAGAAACAAAACTCAGTAGTTCAGTCCCTGGTTCTCCAGTTAAATACTTAGAAAGTAATGAAAAATCTCCTACTAGAGAACTTAAGAAGAAGTATGCAACAGTAGAGGTAGCCGTCAACTTATCACCACAATTCAGCCCAAAATTTCTGTTGCTCAGGGAGACAGTTGTTAAGTGAGTCTCCATTTTACAACCTTTCTTAACACAGCTGTTAAGTGAACCACCGCAGCTATTAAGTCAGTAGCATGATTGAGTGAATCTGGCTTCCCCATTGACTTTGCTTGTCAAAATGTTGCAAAAGATGATCACAAGATATTGGGACACAGCAACGGTCACAAATATGAACTAGTTGCCAAGCATCTGAATTCTGATCACATGATTATGAGGATCCTGCAATGATCAGAAGTGTGAAGAATGGTCATAAGTCACTTTTTTTCAGTGTCATTGTAATTTTGAACATCACTAAACAAACTGTTGTAAGTTGATGATTACCTGTAGTTTATTTATAACTAAGATCCAGTTTGGTGCACTGTAGTCCTTTATTTATGATTATAATTGAGCCCAAATTTCTGTTACTAAGCAAGAGAATTGTTAAATGAGTTTTGCCCCATTTTATGACCTTTCTTGCACAGTGGATTAAGTAGCCATTAGGTGAATCACTGTTAAGTTAGTAACATGGTTGTTAAGTGAATCTGGCTTTTCCATTGACTTTGCTTGTCAGAGGGACACAAAAGGTGATCACATGGCCTGGGGCACTGCATCCATCATAAATAAATGCCAATTGCCATATGTCTGAATTTTGATCACATATGGATGCTGCAGTGGTCGTAGGTATGACAAAATGGTCATAAGTCACTTTTTTCAGTACTGTTGCAACTTTGAATGGTCACTAAATGAATGGTTGTAAGTCAAGGTCTACCTGTAGTGGTGGTTAAGGCTCTGGACTAGTTCTTAGGAGACTGTGAGCTATAGTTCTCCCATATGTATGAATACCCGTTGGACAACTCTCTTTCAACTGAACCCACCTTACAGAGTTGTAAAGAGAAAATAGGAGGTGAAAGGTTTATGTACATTGCCTTGAGCTGTAAAAATAATGGCAGGATAAAAATCAAATAAAAAACAATTCAATACAGGGTAGTATCTTATATTCATAAGATATATTTATATCCTTATGAAAACCCCAGCTCTTATTTGTATGCATTTCATGTACATATTGAGTTCTTATGCAAAGAGTAGATTGTTGTAGATCATAATATATCATAATCTACACATAAAAATTTAGATTTACAAAAATGGGGCATAAGGAAGTATAAAAATGTTATCTATTTTAGCTTTCCCTCCCCCCCCCAGTATTAATATCAAAACTTAAACAGGCAACATTGTAGATATTATTTGTAAGATGCTGTATGGTATGCAATCATATAGCTGAAATATGCCTTGTCATTGTGAACAAAGAAGAATATGAACCATTGAGAAAACTCTGATAAAATAGTTGTTTCTCTTTTTTTCCCCCAAAAGAAAAACTAGTAATAAGTACTACATTTTTGTGGCTTTCTTGTCACTTTTGATATGCCAGAGATACCCATCCCACAATCATCTTTAAAATCCATTGAATATCTACAAATCCTGAGCGTGGTTTAATCGTATTTTATATCCACAAGTCCTGAGCATGGTTTAATAGTATCCTATGTGGTCATTCCTATTGCAGTAAACCAGAATGTATTGTTTTTTATGACTAAATCCACATTTTCTGACTACATCCATACATAGAAGATATCTGGCACAAAGTGGTTTTTGGTACGGTCAGTCGTGAACTGGAGGACAGAAGGAAATATTTTAACATCTACATTGGGATTTTAAAGGCATGGTGTGGTGCTCCAGAGGAGACCCATCTGAGCACCCTGCAAATTACACAGAGAGCATCCATCCTCTACCCTGCCTCTGAAGTGCAAATGATAACAGGATGCCCACACGGACCTGATGTGACTGCATCCCAGCTTTCTCCACCTATGTATTCCTCCCCTAATGAGCCCTTAAATAAAGAGCAAAAAAAGACTAGCCGTTTGGACTTAGAAAAAGTGGCTCTGACTGGCATAGCTTCAGCTTCCAGAACTCCTCTAAGATCTTTCAAGTCCCCGAAGGGCTGTTCCCAAACCCCACGTCCCTGAATCATTGCCTCTTTCTTCAAGAGTTACTCGAGTCCCCTCAGCCCCCATAACCCCCAAATTCACCCCTTGCTTTTCCTGCCTAAAAGGTTCTTGTGTCCCCCCCCTCCACACACACACACACACACACGAACACCTTTCATCTCCCTCACCTCCGCCTCCGGATTTATTGCCCTCAACTCCTAGGTAGTAACATTCAACAGGAATGGTTTCCATTCAGTCAGAGCAAAGGGGGCAGGAAAGCCAGTCCCAGCTTGGCTACGTCGCGACCACCCAGCCCAGAAGCGCTACCCCGGAGGGGAAGGCTCTCTCCATCCTCTTCAGCCAGCCGCCGCTCCGCCTCACAGCCACCCTCGTCTCCAAAGCCTTGTTCTCCCCCGGCCCATGCCTGCCCAGTCCCCGTGGCCCCAACCGGCCAACAATTTCTCTCCCTCCCGGGGGAGGGAGACAAAGCAGCGCGGGTGCACCTGCCCCCCCCTCCCCCGGGGGCTGCTTCCTCTTTCTCCTCAGCCGAGTCCTCGCGCCCGAGAGGAAAGGGCGAAACGCACCGGAGTTCTCCTCCTCCCCCCCCCCCCCCCCGCCACCTTGCCTCGCGCAGCCCGAGCCCCAACTTTCCGACCTCCTCAAGGACGCAGCAACAAGCCGCCTTGGCAGAAGAAGCGGGGAAAGGAGGAAACGAGGCGGCCGGAACGGGGCTCCCCTCGCTTTGCTTTTTCTCTCTCCCGCCTCCCCCCGCACACACACCCAGGGTAAAAACAAACAAACAAAAAAACTCCGGCAGCTGGATGCGCGGGCTGAAACAGGCCAAAAATATCCAGCCAAGCCGCCCGGACTGGGTTGCGGCGCCGAGCGCGCCCTTCAGCCCGCCTTGCTGTGCTTTTGCAAGCCGGCCACCTGCCTTTCCTTTCCTCCTTCAGCCCGACTTACCGTAAGGAGAGACCGCGGCGTCCCCTTTCCTAGCCATGGTCCTCCGCCGCCTTCTGGGCTGACGGAGCTCGGAGCCAGGGCGCCTCTCCGCCCGCTGCTCAGCGTGCTCTTTGTTGCTGTAATGGCATGAGAGGCGGGCGGAGGGGTTGGGGAAGAGCTGCGGTGAGGCGAGTAACCGAAACCCAGGTGCTTGTTTTTCTCCTCCTTCCCCTTCTCTTCTTCTTCTTCTTCCTCTCGCTGCACTTCTCTGGCGCCCCCGAGCGCCTCCCCCAGGCTCCCCCTTTGTGCCTCCCGCTCAAGGCAGAAGAGCCGCTGCCGGAGAACAGCGAGGCGAGCTCTCCGAGAGGTGGCAGCGGCGGCGGCGGCGGCGCTGGCAGCCGCAGTTGCTAAAAAGCTTCCTCGGCCTTCGCAGGCATGCGGAGGAGGAGGAGGGGGCACGTGGGACTGCCGCCCCCCTTGGCTTCAGCCCGCCCCCCGATCCGTATGCAGCGAGCCAGAGCTCACCGACAGCCCCCCCCCGGGGGGGGGGGGGCCGCCCCCCCCCCCCCCCCCGGGGGGGGGGGCCGCCCCCCCTCGGGGGGGGGGGGGGGGGGAAAACCCCCCCCCCCCCCCCCCCCCGCGGTAGCTTCGGGCTGGCTTGCAGGGCTGCCGGTGGGGATGGAAACCAAAGGCATCTTGATCCCGATGGCCTCCCCTCACCCCCTTTCCCCGTTCCGTTTGCATTGTTTTCTGAAATTTAGGAAGGGTGGGGGGAGTTTCGATTGGAGGCATCTTGGTACGAATTTTCTTGCCTTTACGAGCCTTGGATTGCGGGCCAGAGGGAACCTTAACCGTTCTAGAAATCTTTCAGAGATTTATATCCAACTTCGGGGGGGGGGTGACTTAGAGTTAAATCAATAATTTGGGGATAGATCGACTGTATTTTTCGGAAGTGATCGGCCGCTTCTGGCCAATGCAATGCGGGCGGTCTGCCTTGGAAAATTGCCCGAGGAAAGTTTTCAATTCTCACCCCCACCCCCGCCCCGATTCCGGAGCTGTCCTTTGCTTCTCGTGCTGATATCCTGGTTTTTCTCTTTACACGAAGATCGCGTGGTTGAATTCTTCCATGTGCTGTCAAAAAGAGGCCTGGTCAAAATTCTATAAATGAGGTTCGATTCATTGGGTAGCACTTTAAAAAAAAAAGTATTCCTGATTAAGCAAGGGATGAGAGAAGGATAGCAGTATGATCGTGTGTTCCAAGTGACCCGTATCAGATTAAAGTAAAGAAGCACTCTGGCATTTGAAAGGCTAATTAGAATAGAATAGAATAGAATAGAATAGAATAGAATAGAATAGAATAGAATAGAATAGAATAGAAT